CCCTTATTTTTCCTTTCTGGGCTTCAATACAGGCACACCTCAGAGGTATTGTAGGTTCGGTTCCAAACAACCACAATAAACTATAAAGCAAGTCATAATATTTTTGCTGGTGAAAGGTCTCACCTTCAATTTGTAAAAACAAACAAATAAACAAACAAACAAAACACAAGTACGCCTGTACTAAAAAGTTATGAGGCTGTCTTGGGACAGGAGGAATGAGGAATTAGTCTTTAATTAGTGATTATGCTTCACCTGTCTCTCTGAGATCATCTTCACACAATGATGCAGGCCTAGGTATGTTTTAGAGATAGAATAAGCCCAATGATTTGGAGAAGATGGCAGATTTATTGAGCAGGCATGTGGAAGAATGGGCAGCCACTAATTCTCTCTTGTCTTTCTTATAACCTATGTTGAGAACACAGCCTATCACTCAAGTGCTGAAAAGTAACATGGACTCCTCTTTGCAAAGAGCCAGCATTACCCTATGACAGAAGACACTGGCATCATTTGTATTGTGCCCCAAGGTTCCAACAGACAAGGCTGCCTGATATTTATTTGCAAGGCTGATTTATGGTCAAAATTACCCATTGATATGCCTAGGGAGTGATTTAGATCAGTATATTGTGATTCTTAACAAACAAAAAAATGAATAGTGGGAAGAAACTAGGGGAGGGGGGCCAGGGGGAAGGAGGAGTCAGAATGGAATTCTCTGCTCTATATAACAACATTTCTAAGCCTTTGAGACTGTTCCTAAGCCTCCAGCACCAGGAATCCATAAGGGTAGCTGGTACCCCATAGGAACAGCATACCTAACTCTTAAGTAATCTCCCAGCATTTGCCAAGCCTTAAAATTTCCAATTTTAAAATTAAATGTATTTTGCTAGACTAAGTTGGCTTAACATAGTATACTCCTATTAGCTAGAATGTAATCAAAGCTTAAAATAAACTTGATCTAATTGTATTTGCATTTGCACAGAAATGAATGCTTTGAATTTTTAATACAGCATACTACTAACCACAACTGCTCAAGAAATCACCCTTCCTGGGTAGGAATAACCCACCTGGATAGGAAGATAAGCACTTCCCCTTTCAGGAAAATAACTATAATAGGTATTGATGTCACAGTTAGCTTTCCTCACTGCTCTCTCTACATTTTAACCATATTCACTGAAGGAGGATGTTTACATATTTAGTTCAAAAACCAACTTCTAGAACTGCAAAATGTCTGTAGAAACTTTTTCATGAATGATCTCATGAATCATTAGGGTGAATCAGTGGACAAGCCAGCACAAATACCTATCACAACATATACCTTTTATGGTCTTAAAACAGAGATGGAAAATATATGGGAAATATGCACAGAAGAGCCTATATTCTTAGCAAACATCACTAAACAATTGCAGCTCAGATAGGGCCTCAGAGTCTTCCTCAACACAGTACTCCAGGCAGCTATTACCAACTGATTTGGAGTTGGCATACAAAATAAAACCTGCCTGTTATGCCTACCTTAGAGCTAGGTCAACTCTTTTAATAGCTGGGATTCCATACTGTGTAATCATGTTGTGGCTCTACAAGTCATACGTTAGCAATGGTAAGCAATGCATCTCAGATGGCAACAGAGAATCTGAGTTGTAGTTTCTGCCTGTGCTAGTCCTCCACGCTTCTGAACAAATCCTCATCTGTATTTAAAGTTCAATGACTAAAGATGGGTAACAATGCTTACGTTTCCATAAGGATATTCTGGAGGATATATCAAGCAAACCCTAGCAATAACACATATCAAACTCAGATGGATGGATGGATGGATGGATGGATGGATGGATGGATGGATGGATGGATGGATAGATAGATAGATAGATAGATAGATAGAATATACATGGGGTGTTTTTTTTCCAAATAATTTTACCTTATCAACCTGTAAAAAAAGTAAGTATTATTATTTTCAAACTGTTTATGAAGAACTTAAAAAGGGCTAAAAAGCTATATATCATGGCAAATTAAGCTGAGGTGGGAGTAGTGAAATCAAACTCTGGTTTTCTGTACACTCTTTAAACCTCTTGCTGTCTTCCCAGAGTTTTAAGAATGCTAATATAAAACCAACTTCAAGACTCTTTGAAGAGCTGCAGTATAACAAACAAAAATATGCACAAGTTTATAACAGGAATGCGGGGGGAAATGAAGTTTGTGCTAGATGCATTGGCAATTAAAAGTCATAGAATTCTAGGTGTAAGGTCATTTATGAACATCCATCCAATATTATTATAAAGTTACTAGTCAACCAGTTGAACTAAACATTTATTCGCCTTTTCTACCATTCAGCCATACTCCCACAATTCAGCCAGCCAGCCAGCTTTGCAATTACCTATCTATTCTTTATTCCAACCATCCATCTAACCATCCAATTACTTATTAATAAATGCATATGAACAAATTCAAAAGTATTTATTGAATATTGGGCATCTTACTTGATCCTGGGGATTCAAAGCTGGAAAGTCCATAGTCCCTACCCAGAAAGAATTCACAAGCCAGAGGAGGAGCCAGCTACATAAAGTATAAAGGGATACATTAATAGAAGTATGTCCAAAGTATAATGAAAATTTTTAAAAAGATGTATAAAAAAGCTTCCCCCAAAATCTACAAGAATAATAGAGAAAAGATTTTAATAAAAACCGAATGGGAGGTAAGTTGGAGATCATTTTACAGAGAAGAGCTCCTATGACAGCCTGGAGGAAAAGAAGAGCATAATCCTTCTAGTGAACTGTGATGAGCTTCGCATGGAGAGATGATGAGTATCCAGCAAGGAGAGGTATGGTTCTCCAAATTCATCATGATGAGATCATTCATGAGAAAGTATCTACAAAGATTTTAGCCACAAAAACGCAGGATGGATCAGAGCTGGAACATTCCAGAAACAAGCGTTTGTTCCCCTGGCACTGTATTGTGGAGGGAGGCTAATAGAGGCTGTGAATAGCACACTGAATGCAGAACTAAAACCTATGGGTGGGTCAAAGAGTGACCAAGCTAAAAGTGTATGGGGTGGAATGCCTAACTCAGGTCAGTTAGGAAGGTATAAGACTAGAGATGTGGCTACATTTGCATTCAGTGTTGGGAAATGAGATGTAGATAAAATGGGAGAGGTAGCATGTTGAGGGGAGCTGTTTATTTCAAAAATTTATACAAGTGTGTGTCAGACAAATTTCTAGAAGCTAAAATTTGGCAGCCAAGTAATTGCCATGGTCAGGGACTGTTAAAAGACCCAGGTCCTAGGCCCATTCTCACTTCTGTGTTAAAGCAAAGATCTCGAACTCGGTACCCAAGAAAGCCAACTGTGTCTAAAGAAACTTTTTCCCATCTTAGTTTAAGATTTTCCTAGTTAGAACTTAGTTTAAGTTCTAAGCACCTCAACTCATTTAGACTCAGTTTTACTTCCATAACTCTCTATAAAAAATGAAAATAAGGCAACAATAACATCTTTTTAGTATGGCTGTCAGAAATCACTCTTTAAAAGCAAACACAAATAAGTGAGAAGGAAAAAAAAGCACCTCTGTTGCAGCAGGAAAAATTACTAGGAAATTGTGCTCACCTCGATTGCCAGGAGTTACACTGACCATTTTCTAGCTCCAAAGACAATAGATGTTTTTAAAAGTTGCTTAGTAAGCTTGCTGTTGATACAGTTCATGAACTCCCATTAATTTTCGCATTAATCATTGTTCTAGGACTTAAGTAATTATCTAAGCAATGTTTTACCATCCCTGAAACTAATTAAAAAATAAGGGGTTCTAATGAGTATTTTCTATTAGTAAAATCAAGTGCCCATACCACAAAAAGGGTTCTTTACTCTTCTTTTTGTTTTGAACAAGTTTAGACATTGAGAAAGTATGGCATGAAAAAAATTACAATCAGACTTAGAATTTGTTATCTTAAGATGACAGAATACAAACAACCATAAAATTATCGTTATTTCTCCCACTGAGAGGTGGAGTCAAACTTCCATTACCTCCCTTGATTCCAGTCAGGCTCAGTGTTTCTAGTGCAGTGGAAACAACACTATCAATTCTCAGGCCAGGTTTTGGGAAACAAGTGGCTTTCACTTTTTGTTTCCTGAAATAATCTCCATTGGAAGTCCTGAGCTACCACGTAAAAGCTCAACTACTTTGAGACTGCCATCCTGGAGAAGCTACATGTAGATGCTCTGATCAACCACCCTCACTGAGTTCAGCCTTTCAGCTACCCCGTCAAGGCACTAGACATGATAATAAAGCCATCTTGGACCCTGCAGACCAGTCTACCTATGAGCAGAATGCCACAAAGTGACTTCAATCAATGCCACTTAGAGAAGAATCACTCTGCCAAGCCTTACCCAGATTTTTGACCAACCAAATTATAAGATATGATAAAACAGTTATTGTTTTAAGCCACTAAGTTTGAGGTTATTTGTAATGCAGTAAGATATAACCAGAGCACTTACCTCAACAATCTCAGAAAGGAGAGCAATTTACTGATTAATGCTCTTCTTGCTTTAAGGAAATGCTCTGTTTTGATCATTATCTTCCTGAAAACTATATAGAGATACATATAGTTTGTTGCTACTCAGCAGCTTCTATATATTTGGAGAGACCTAACATATATTCCCAATCTAATAGTTTAAGTATTTTCAGTGCCTTCACCTCTTCCTTTTAAGTATAGATCCTTCCTGCCCTCATCTCCCTCAATATTTGGTTAGATGCCAAATTAGGAATATTTGGTTAGATGCCAATTAGGAATAACTTGAAGTTGAGCGAGAGGGCACAATGGAGAAGGATGACATTGCTCTTTCACAAAGTCTTAGGAAATAGGACCATTCCATTGAGAACCTCGAAGAAGAGTCAGACCCTCTATCACCCCCATGAACCCAGCTTTCTCATGAGCTGAAGCAA